CCAATATAATTACAAAAAAAATCGTATTCTTGTCTAATCTTATTGAGCGCTATTTATATTTATAAAAGCAAAAAAAAATAAAACAAAAACGACAAAAAAAATTAAATTTGTAAAATGCATTATCTTTACTTAGAGTGAGAATTCTCCGAATTAAGTTTTCTGCTCGCCCAAGATATACTGGTTATATTATCAATTTTGCGTATTACTTTTTTAATGTAGCTTTTTATGCTATTACATCCGTACATGTATTCTATCAGTCTAGGGCTAAGTGAATCGCTTGACGATGAACGTTACTTGTTAGATTTATTCGTTTAAAAACAAAATATAATCTCACGGTGTAGGATTTCAATCAATGATGAACTTTGATTTCATACTAGGCCACTAATGATCATAACGAATAATTGCTACTTCAACCTATTTTTGTCTTTTACTTTATTGTTAGAATAATTTAATTCGCAGTGCAACGTTAAATAGACACAAGATCAACAATGAAAATGATCATCTGTAAAAATTTATCAGCGTATGACAGAAAAAAAACACCAAAGCAAGAATTCTTTTACTTCATAGATTTGTGAATTAAAGTCGAAAATATCTTACAAAACCAAACTGACATTATAAACTGCATAACGGCTTTATTTCATGCCAAATCGACTACAAAGATATACAATCAATTATGAGCAGTACAAACTTGTTCATGAGAAAGTAAATTACATGTACAGTTACTATACAAAAAAATATTCTAAATTAGGATTATGTTTGTACAAGAGAAAAACAAATTTTGTTTTTTTTATCACTGATGACGCGTGTGCACATGTGTCATAAGCATGATCAACCTGTAAGACTAATATAATTATAGCTCCTGATGCATATATGCGTAGTCGTTAAACGAAAGATGAGTAGATCACATTTGACTGATTTTCTTTCTTTTACGCAAAGAAATTTGTTACATATGCAAACATAATACGCACGAGTACCCACATTGTTTTTCTCTCTCTATAGTTAATTCGCATCAACAAAAAAACAAGATCTATATAAACGATTGTCAATCACGAATCAAAAATCATTGTTAAAACATTATTTCATTGTTTTTGGTAACTGTCTTACGTATATTAATATAAGCAGTTTTATTTTGAATTTATTACTGGACCAAACCATAATGTTTTATCTCATAATACCGATCATTTCAATAATAATTTGGTACGTTGTTCACAAGACATATAGAAAAAAAGTTCAATATACTTCAAATAGTCTCCAATATGATCATGCTGTAATCATTGGAGGTAGTTTAGGAGGAATGATCACTGCTGCTTATTTATCAAAATATTTCAAACGAATAACAATCATAGAATCAGATGATGTATTAAGTGATACTTTCAACAAATCCACACCAAATGAAATATTAGATTATCGTTGTCGTCTTGAAAGTCCAACATCAATAGGACGTTCAGGTGTTAGTCAAATCTATCAAATACATTTACTTCCAGGCGAAGGATTTAAAATATTTAACGAGTTGTTTCCTCATTTGACAGATAAATTAAAAAATGAATATAATGTTCGTACATATGCAATAAAGAGTGAAGTAATGATGATTATTAATGGTAATGTATTAAATCAAAACTTACCTGAAGATATGGAATGGTTAGGTATTGATCGTTTTACATTAGAAATAGCTTTGAGAAAAGAATTGTGTTTACAATATAGTAATCAAATTGAATGGATATGCAATGCAAGAGCAATTCAATTAATTGTTGATCGATCAGCTAATATTGTTCAAGGTGTAAAATATCGATTAAAACAACATGTTAATTCACAATTATTAGATATCTATGGTGATTTTATTGTTGATTGTTCTGGTCGTAATACATCATCAATCAAATGGTTAAAAGAAAGTTTCAATTTAATTGTACCGACAGAACAAATACATTTTGGTTCTGGTTATGTTTCATTTATAGGTGAAAGATTTAAAACAGAACATCCATCATTAGATTCAATATCTATATTTTTATGTAACGCTAATTCACCAGATAATAATACAGGATGTTTTATAGCTCCAATACGTGTAATAAAAACAAATGATGAAAATTCTCTAGGAAACTTATCAACGATTACAGTTCATTGTGTCAATTCAGAATTTCCACCAAATGATTCTTATGAAAATCTATTAGAATGGGCAAAAGATCATCTAAATAGTGGATTTAATTCAATATTAAAATCAACAAAAGTATGTAGTCCATTAGTTCCATATCGCCGAGCAATCGATGATCGAAAATATGTCGAATTATTAGGCAAAAAATGGCCTCACAATTATATATTATTAGGTGATGCAATGTGTACATTTAATCCACAATATGGACAAGGTATGACACATGCATTACGACATGCAAGAGAATTGGGGAGAATATTTAACGAACATTGCCATAAATTAGAAGATATTTCTTATATTTTTAATCGACGAGCTTCAGTCATTACTGAAGAATGTTGGCTTGCTTCAACAACAAATGATTGGAAAACACCAACATTAAAAATCATAAAAACTGATAAAAATGGTGAAATTCGAACTTATCAACGAGGTAATGATTCTGATACAACTCATCATCCTGAACCACAAGTGCCTTTGATGATCAAATTTTTGCAATGGTACAATCATTGGTTTCTTCTCTGTGCAGCTAAATCAGGACAATTATCTACAGATTTTGTACGTGTTATCAATCAACATTGTAATCCATTCATCTTGATGAAACCAACTACGTTGATACAAGTCTGCTATATGGCATTGAGTCATTACTTTCATGTATCGAAAAACTGATATGCTCAAATCGAATACTTGATTTGCTCTTATTCAGAACTTTTTGCATTTTATAAGACTTCAAACATTGTTTTTTTTCGTACCATTTTAATGTGACTTTGTTTCTTGTTCAGTTTCATTTGCTCAATTTAATTATATCTAAAAATGCAAAACATTTTACTTGAATTTTTTATTTGTAGCATAGTACTAAAGGATGATGCCATACAAAACCACAAAACTCAGCATTCTTTACATATCATCGGTATTCCGTAGGTCGATAAAAGAATTGCAAATATTCTCACTTGAAAGAATCGTTAGTTTTCTTCTCAATTACATGTTTTATTGACGAATAGTTAAAAGAAATACTAATGAAAATCAATTTTTCTCGATACTCTTCCTATGTCATTACCGTATCTTCAATACAAATACTCTTCTCAAAATCGATGGCTAATATTACTTACTCTAACAGAATCCATTCTCATGCACATCCACCCACTCTTGACTGATCCTCAAGAACTATATCACGTCTTGTAAAACATTGTTCTACTTAAGAAAATTAGTTTTCTATCCATCTTTAAATTTTTTGTATGAGTTAAAGGCGTTAGTCGTGAATGGAAAAGGACGAATTTAGAGAAGAAATATCACCATTCAAATAATGCGTTCAATGAGAGAGCGAGAACATGAAAGAACAGTATGCTTGGACTCTAATTCGAATAAAATGAGGATGAGTATGTATATGAAGAGTCAACGTTTTATTTCTTTGTATTACATTGAAATAATGAAAGAAAATCGTTTGCACATAGAGGGTTGGAAATAATATTTTGATAGGGGGGTATTGCTATAATTTCAAATAGAGTAAATAATGAATTTTATACCAAATGAAAGCTCATCGAAAACGGGATTTATTGGTACTAAATAGTGATAGTTATGGAAACTTTTTTAATATCGAACTT